TTTCGATGGGGTCAAGCACTTCGAGATCGCCGTGGCGAAGGAGAAAAATCATCCGCTTCCTCTCCTGTCAGTGGATAAGATGAAGCCCTTGTGGAGGTTTGGGTAAACAAGTGGTTTCCCAACAAAGAGGCGGAGAAAACAACATCAAGTTGATTTTCCAGCCAAAAGGCTCGGAGGTGAGGTTTCAGGGTTCTCCGGAAGAGAGATGACTGCATGTACACTCCCGAAAACTAACATGGAAGTGGAAAACCACCTGTTTGTAGTGGAAAATGGTCTTCCAAGGGGCTATTCTCCACTTCCATGTTAGTTCCAGGAAGTGTAAGTACAGAGGTTTTGTTGCAGTGAGTTGGAATGTCACTGACCAACTCTCGGCCTCCAGTAGCAAGGACTGATCTCACTCGGCGGGCGGGCGCGGGCGGGCGCGGGTGAGGATTCTGAGCGTTCCTGGGTGCAGGCATTTCTAGAGCCCTGGGCAGAGACTCCACGGGGCTGTCCAGGACCACCGGTGAAGCTCAGCTCGACTAACACTGTTAGTGAAAAGCTATGAGATCGGCAGGCATGTGAGGTACAATTCCCGAACACTCCGGTATTACATGTCTACATTGACCCCCCAAAACCACCCCAATCTCGGCTGATATGGCAGCTCCATCGAGTGAACTTGAAGGTTTGAATCCTCCGATGCCTGCGTCCGGCACCACGCATCCATCTCATCACCGTTGGGGGCTTTCTGCTTTGGGAGTGTCTCACGTCTGAGCCTTTGGCACATCCGGTAGGAGATCTCGTCGGCTCCAAGCCTTTGGCAACTGCAAGGTGAGTCGGTTGTTTTGCGCTTCGCCCAGAAGCACACGGTTGTCTCAAGAAACTTGTTTCACATAGGTGGAGCCACTCTTCAAGGGAGAACTGGGCAATTAGTGGAGTGGAAATGAGGCCGTAATGTAGCCAAAAGGAAGTAACAAGTAGATGTTAGTAGCCATTCATCAACCAAATTGGAGCACCCGCAGCAAGTCAGTCAAAGAAAAACTAGCTTGACTCCATCTTTGGTCGTGCCACCACTGGAAGACCAAGGACTACCGCAACTCCTTCCCACTTCAGAGAGCATTGCACCAAGAGCATTGCCCGAAACTCCAACCCAGCAAGCTTGGGAACTGTTTTTTCCTGAAGAGATGCAAGACTCCAGGAAGATCATGCACCATCTCATGCCGGGAGAGGCTTTCCTTTCATGGTCCACTTGGTAGCCACGCCACATCACTTGGTGTCGCCATGGCCAGCGAGAAGAACAAGCGTCGCGGAACGGAGGAAAGCGGGACATGATAGGGACATGGCGGACCGGCAGTTGGAGCGTTTGGAGATTCACCAGCCCGGGATCAGCCAGGGCTTCCCAGGTCCTTGGCTGTTGGCAGCATGTTTGCAGCCTGTTGGGTGTCGTTGTGGCAGGAGATTCACCAACAGAGAGCCAAATGTCTTGATCCTGGTAATGGCTTCTGGAATTCCTATGAGTCAGTTCCTTTTGCTCATTATGGTGTTGGAGTGGGAAAGCATTAAAGAATCATGAACAATATGAAACATGTTATTCTTGGATGAGCGAGCCAACCGCAAGAGCCAGGAGAAGGGCAAAGCAGCATCCGCGGAGATAAGACAAGGCAGTGCTGCAACAGGGAGAAGGAGCCATACTTCAACCCAGACCTTCACCTGGTCACGGGACGGGGTCACTGTGCAGTGGGTCGATGAAGCAGAACAAACACCTGGAGATGGATACGAACCATTGGCACAATTTCATGTTAAAGGGAATTCACCAAAAGATCCAAAAGTTGGTGTGGGTCAATAGGTACCATTTGTATCCATTTGCCTACCCAGTAGCAACGGAAGGAAGCCCCTGCGCAGTTGATTTCACTAAATACGCTAGTAGGTTTTTCTTTGCGTACCTTGCGTGACAAGAACATGCGCGCACGACGAGTGCCTACCATGCCTGCCAGGAGTCTTTGGCTTTCCAGCGTGGGCATCGTGGTCCTTGCTGTGCTGCTGGGAATTTGGGGCACCTGGTCCACTGGCAGCGCCTCCAGGACCTGCTGGCCGGATGACAAATGCGTCCAGGGTTACCCCCACAGTGTGACAACAAGGACCTGTTCCAAAGTTCCAAAAAGCATACCAAAGTGTCATATCATTGCATCATGCATGCATCTTAAGAATATCAGCATGTAAATAAAGAAAGGATTGGCAGTAAGATTGGCTAGTAATTCATCATGAGGTTCCTTTGTGCAGCCTTTCTCTACAGCAAACCGCCGAACCGGAACCGCCCGCGCACGCCCGCGCCCGCGCACGGCAGACGGAGGCCCAAGCAGACAGAGGCGACGGTCTGGGCTGCAGGTGGGATTCAAAGCCACTGGGCGCAATGTTCATCGCTGGAGAAGCAGCGATGAAAGGACCATGACTGGACGCCCAATCGACCAATCTACCAGTGGTACATGGTTGACAATTGCTGCAACAAATCCAGAAGTTGTTCTTTCTTGTTTCCTTGCTATGTTTATGTGAGCACACACCTGCTGAAGGTCTGCTGCAGGAGAACGTGACTTGTGCACCTCAAGCCGGAGGCATGGAGTGTTGTAGACCACATCAAGTCCGTGAAATCCAGCATGTGCGGCTAAATCTTCTGAAACAAAAACAACAACAATCCATGCATTGCCGCCAGGTGTTTTCCCGGTGTTTTCCATTCATGTCAGAATGTGAAGATCACACGCTCGGATTTTGGAACACATTCGACTTGTCCAACCCTGCGAACGTTTCAAACCCTAGGGCTCTAGGGCTCCTGGCCCATCTCAGATGGCCGGTGGTATGGTTAGACCCTCCTGGCACCCACCCAGCCCTGGCCCACCGAACCGAATCGGTTCGGTGGGACAGGAGCCCAAACGGGCTAACCGTGGCCACGTACCGACCTTCCACGTCGAAGGTGATGGGAGTGGGGCACTGGGGCTTTGCGGCACCACCAGGAGCGAGCTCAAAGGCCCTCACCGGTGGCGTAGGAGGTGAAACACGGGGGTTGCGGCACGTCCCTGACACACAAGGTGTTTCGATGGGGCTGATTTTGGGAGGAACTGGAGCGATGAGGACAATTGTGTACGTGAAGTGAATCATGGAACTGGGTGAGAGGACCAGTCATTGACCTGCCTTACATTTGGAAGAGTTCTCCCCCCGAATGAGTGTATGAAATCCCGTGCATAAGACATGACAGGAAGGATAACAGCAAGGGGACCTTTTCATTGATCAGAGGTACGGCAGTACGGCATCACCATTCTTTGCATACCCAGACCATCCATGTATGGAATAGTTACTGTACGTACATGATATATTTTACACTAGGGTCGGGGTAAATGTATGGAACTATTCCATACACGGATGGTTTGGGTATAGTTGCTTCATGTTCTTTCACTTTTCTGCAGGCTCAGTGTGCTCTCCCAAGCTAACTAACACACCGTCGCACACCACCCGGCACATAAGGCTCAGTCAAGCAAGCACTATATATAGAGACGAAAACGAAGAGATTACCATCAATGCAAAGTCTTTGTTCCCAGACCATACTCTGGTGAATTCTGCCAGGTTGCTGTTCAGATTCTTTTGGCTTGGCTTTCCCACGCATTGTTTCTCCTCCCACGTGCCGCGCGTTTTAGATCGTTCTTGAGTCAGTTTAATGCACTAGGAGAGCGAACAACTGTGCTCGCTTCGTGCTGGATGGAGCTGTGCCAGCCGAGCATGTGGAGGACGGAGCCCCCTGATGCCGAAGGTTCATTCGATTCATGAAGCTTCAGCGTAATGTGAACTCTTGATGGGGGGTGTTATTAATCAAGAGTCTACATTATGCCAGATTTTAGGCGAGGTTTGCACGACTGGCTGAAGCTCTCGTTGGAACTGGCGGGTGCAGAGTATTTGGTGACCGAGATCGGAGATCGATTGGCATATTTCGACCATCCATGCATGGACCCCATGTATGACTACTGTATGACCCTAATGGAAGTATAATTAACCATACTAATCCAAGTAGCTCTAATCCATGGATGGTTTGGGTTTGGGTCCAGAAGCTCGTTAAGACCCTCTTGGCACGTACCTTGGTCCGATCGAGGCAGAACTGCAACGAACAGATGAGTGCGGTTGGGGGTGACATTGAACACATCCCCAAGATAGTTTCCTCCAAGTCTGGGGCAATCACAGAATGAACATGAACAATATCATGGTCATTTGTGAATGAACAACTCCCCACATGTGGAGGTGTGGAGCCCTGCAAAGGTGCATTTATTGACATCCACTCAATGGGCATGGAGTGTCAGTTACAAGTCTTTGAACCGATGCAGAGGAGCTGCGTTTGATGCTCTCGTGGCTGATTGCTGAAGCCTGGGGTGGTGGAGCAGGGCCGCCCAGTGTTGTCGACTTGCATTCGGAGACCATCTCCTACAAGGAGTAAGGGCTGAGCTCGGGCCGGGTTCGGGTTGATCACCCTGCAACTTCACAATGGAAAAGATTGAGCTACGTTCTGTTTGGTTGTGACAACGTGTTTGGCCATGGTTGTGCCCCGTTTCCAGGGTGGGTGGGGCCTTTGGCAGACCCCTGGAAGAAGACAGATAGGCAGACGGCAGCAATCAGTATTGGATTTGGATTCTGCAGTTCAGCAGCTTCCTGCACCGGCTTCCCACAGAGTCAGCAGCGCTGACTGCCCTTGAGCATCCTGCAGATCGAACTTTCCATTGAAGAAGAAAGGAACTGTCCGGAGATCCCGGACAATTGTGTATCAGGGGCTTCCAGCCAGGTGACCCCTTTGAAGGTGCTGGCATTATTTATGATTCACGTGCGGGTGCTGACTACCCACAGTCCTGCCCGCAGTCCTGCACGTTGGCGTGGACCGTTGTCACGCCGAATTGGGCACCCCTTCGGCTGGAGAGGCGCCTGCGTCGTTGCCCTGGGCGCGCGTGCGTTGGGCACCCTGGCAGGAGCAGTTCGTGAACTTGACGGAGCTCATGAACTTCAAGTCTCTGAAGTTCACTCAGAAGCAGGTCGAGGTGCACTGGGCATGGGCGATCATGCGCGCATGGGCGGTTTTCCGGCCCATTTTGGGAGGCGGTGTTTGGGGGGCCGTGGGGAGCCAGGCTTTTGGAGCCTGCAGTATGCAGTTCTCCGGGCAAGGACATTTGGGAAACAACAAGCAGTATGACAAGCCCGCTGGGAGAGCATGTCTGTGCTCCAAGCCCCAATTCTTTGATCCGGCACGGCAGTATGTTGGCCTTCAAGATCAAGTGGAAAAACACTGATAGCGTTAAAAGTCACTACTGCCCACCGCCCACTAGACTTCTTAGAGTGTTTGGACACCCGTTGACACCGCGGACATCCGTGGACACCAACTTTGAGAGGAATTTGCACAAAGGTCATGCATATCATATAGTCGACATCATAGTCTGCACAAGCGTTTTCCAACCCTTTAGAAACTTTATTGCTGTACAGTCACCTGTCAAGTTGCAAAGAAGACAGAGATAGATAGATAGATAGACAGATAGATAGATAGATAGAAATTCCTTTGGCTTACAATACAAGCCAAAATAACAATCACAATAAACACATATAGTGTCAACAAACATGTTTGTTATTTCTTGGACCAATGTGCCATGTCTCATTGAACCAGCGAAAACCATGTTTCCACCTCTCTGGGGGTTGAGGCCTACACCCGCGTGCGTGAGACCTTACGAGTTCGTTTGGCGCAGCTTTTTGGATTGGATGCCGAGCAGTTGCAGCGCTTGGGAACGCAGTTCTGCAGTGAAGTGGATGGATTTGTCCGTGTGACTTTTTCATCGCTACCCTTTGGAGAAGATGCATTTCTGGTGGGTTTCGGGGGGGGCCAGTCACTAGCTTTGACGTATGTATATATCTATATACTCCCTGCCTGCAGCAATCAGGCGAGTGGAAAATGGCCAGTAGACGAAACCCGTGTTCCTTTCGGGACCATGTTCCGCTTGCGTGTTTGTTGGATGGAGGGTATGTGTGTGTGTGTGCAGCCTATATATGGTGTAAGGCACTGGTAGGCCCTACTCCAAAAATTGTTCCACAGTAGAATTGTTACTTACTGCAAATAACTGGCCATCAAAGAGCACCACTGACGATGTTGAACCCGTGATGGACATGCCGTGTTCCAAGCAGTTCCAAGCAAGTGTATTCTGCTGGGAGCGTATCCGTGGCTCCTAGGCACGACATGACTTTCTTTTCCCACATCAATGGGAGCAAGACGGCGCAGACCGTGCACGATGATGCTTGCATGGTTCGTGGGTGGAGGATGGAGGGGTGGCCGGGGTGGGCTACTGAGGGAAGGCAACTGAGAGTAAGACATCAACATGTTCATAGCTTTGCTTCAGACCAAAAATGGCTATGGCTACAACTATAATGTTAGCCAAGTAAGCTTTTATTCTAGTTCTGAGTGTTATTACCAATATGATACTGTACTTTACTAGTATCCTATATATACCGATATGGCTATGGCTATAACCGTATGATCTTGTACCTGTTTAGCAGGATTCCCTGGCCGTTCTCGTGCATCTCGTTGATCTAAGTTAACTTGATCCGACACCGAGACTCTCTCCCGCTTTTGACCTAGGAGTATTGGCACAGCCACATCGACACTGAGCAGTATGGCACCTTTGCCTACACAAGCCTCTTGTATCTCAACACCCAGGATGAGGACAGCCTGCATGCACCTCATTGTCAAAACCACGTGGAGGGAGAGTCAATGGCACTCACTCACTCGCTCGCTCACTCACTCACTCTCTCACTCTCACTCTCTGCATTTGGCCGCATTCGGGTTTCAACCAGGACTTCCATGGTGGTGAATTCGTCTTCGAGGCGCCAGAGCCGCGCGCGGTGGAGCCGCGCGGCGGGCGCGTGGTGGCCTTCAGCAGCGATGCAGAGAACCCACATAAGGCGCAGTCCGGGGGGCAGGGGGAGGCTCGGCAGGGGGAACGGACCGGTTTTCGGCTGGGACGCCAGGGTTTCCGAGATGGTGGTGGATTCAGGACCCTGGGGACCCTGGGACGGGGACGTGGTACATTTGGGAGAATTCGGCGAGAAAGAAAGGGCTGTTCAATGAATGAACCTGGAACCTTCCCAAAAAGTTGTGTGGATCGTCTGCAGCGCAACCGAACTTTGGGGGATTGGAGATCTCCCCACTCAACAAGAAGCGTGTGGAAAAAGGCTCACCTCATCCCACTTTCTTGTTGCCGGGAGACTGATGGAGTCAGGCAAGAATTCAGATGTCATGATACGCCCCCCATCCAGGATGGTGTTGGAGGTTTTGGGACTTGAAGAGCATCATTTGCTGGGTTTAAAGCTCCTCAGAGAGGCCATGTTTCCACTTCCGTGTTTTTCACGTAGAAAATTCTTTCGGGCCAGTTTCAGGGTGAGGATGCTTGGAGTCATGTCAGTCATGTCAAAGATCAAGGAGTGGAGGTGTGCATCAAGCCTCAGCCAGTTGCTCTTGCTAGCGCACGACTGGGGTTGCAAGCTTGCAGAGCTACATCTCATGGCTGTTGAAGAACAACTCACCTGCGTGTACATCTTACGCGGCGCAGATCTTTTTGCTCAAACAAACAACTACGTAGCTGTGTGCGAGACTCGCTTCAGATTGAGCGCCTTAGCTCAACATGGCACTGAGTGGTACGTACTTTCGTTGGCCATACCACAGCAAGCTAGGCTCGCAGTTCCAAAAGATTCAGTCCATCCCATCGTTAATCAATCGTTGAGCCTTTTTCTTTGTCTTTTCATGTCATTTCTCTTTTTAAGGTGCAGAGCTCAAAGCGATGCCCACAGAGAGGGAGAGAGAGAGAGAGCGAGAGCGGCAAAAAAGGGCTCCAAAAGAGAGAGAGAGAGAGAGAGCAGGCACCAAAAGAGAACTGAGCACAAGAACAGAGATCAACATGTTTTGTTTTTAAAGCAAAACGTTGGACCCCCGATTGGATCCCATGGAAGAAGGAGGATAGACGAAAACAGACCAGTTTACCCACTATGATTTTCCGGGCGCCATGGATTATCCCAGTCTCCCTGCGATGGGACAGGACCAGCCATGACCAAAACAGGAGAACACCATCCAAATTGGGCCAATGGGTGGGGTGCAGAGGGTGCAGACACAACATAGCACAAACAATTTGGAACAAGAACCTAACATACCATACAGTAGATGTGGTAGTTCACTAGCCTAATCAGCACTCCGTCGTTGGAACCTCTGGTGTGGACATCGTGCCGCCGCCACGACCAAGGCCTGGCCACTTTGGGCCTGACTCTGCGAGCTACCTACTAGGTACTAGGGTTAAGTCGACTCGGCTTGTGTAAAGTCGACTCGGAACCCTGCGCCCTTGCAGAATTGCAAGAAGTAGAGTATAGAATGTATTGATCTATAACACATGTATGAGTTTGTAACATGCATATTACAATGACAATGAACATAAATGAGCATCATCACTCATGATCACCACTCGAAAATGCCAATGCATATTACACATTGATGAAAATGAATGCCACATGTGGGGCGTTGGAACCCTAGCACACATGAATTGGATCAAACGTGTTCAAACGTTGTGAGCTTTTCCATGTGGAAGACAAAGAAACGCGGAAAAACATGGTGTCCAACCACCAGGACACCATGCCCAAGAGGTGACCATCATATCATGATATTTTTATGGAGGTGGCCAGGCAGCGGTTTGGGTCAGGCACCACCCCTTGGAAGTCGTATAGATGTACACGACCGTGACTTATAAGGGTCGCGACCCGGAGTTTTCGCTTTTTCTCCACAGGCTACGCGATGCGTAGCGCGTAGCGCGGTAGCTACTACGGTTCTCATGGTGCCATGCAATCCACCAACTGAGGAGATCATGGGCGGGTGCGAAAGCAAGGCCACCACCGCGAATGAGTTCCAAGTTGACGCTGCCAGGTTCCGGCCGGGGCGGCCGGTCGTGTGGTGGGACCGGCGGGAGGAGCACGTCATGGGGACCGGGGACGTCGGTTCGAGCTTTGCGCCGAAAGCTGGTGCAAACTTGGCTGGAAAATGACACCTGTCCAAAAGCAAAGGGAGACTGGTCGGGTATTCTACATCTCAGATCTCATGTCATGTGTGAATTGACCACGTATTCAGCAACCAATTTTTTTCAGAAGTCTCTGGGTATCCCTTTCGTTCTGTCCTAACCTCCTTCCAGGAATGACCCAGGTGGAGGTTGAACGATGGACCTGCTCGGTTTGAACCTGGTGAACTGGTCCAAATATTCGGTCTTTGTCCACAGAGCTTTGCATCACAAAGAATTCATTCCCCACATAGACCATTTGCTGCTAATTAATTTGCAAATGAGACCTATATGACACAGGATTGGCGCATCAACATTACATTAACAATCATTAACATACATTAACATTATATTACCTTCATCTGGATCTACACCTCTAGTGAGCTTCTGTTGTTGTGAAGAGTCTCGGTCAAAGTCTTCACACAGTTGATCAACCACTTCCATGATCTTCCATGCGCAGCAGCCGAGAGTGTATTCTGACTGGTACTTCGTAGGGAATCAGGAGATGGATCCTAAAGGACTCGTTTGAGGCGGGACATCCCGCATCACCGGAATAATCCTCCTGCGTCACCTGGTTTGAGGCATCCGAATCTGCAGCGCCTGGCGTTGACCACCACGGAAAAGATGGGTGGCCTGGCATCCAAAGAACCCAAAGTCAGCAACGTCATGGCTGGACATGTTGGGATCTCTTATGTTTTGTACGCGGGTTGTTATAATTGGCATGACCCAAGTTTTGAAACCAGCATATTTCGTATCATGCCTCCCAGATCTTTCTTTGAACCTCCTGAATGGCGCCACCTCCCTCCTCCCTCCTCCCTTCCTCCCTGTTCACTCCACCAGCAGCGAACCACCGCCGCGAACGAGGCTGGATTCCCGACCTTCCGGACCACCGCGACCATTACATGAGCTTCAAGTCCATCGACACGCCCAAGGAGAGTCGGGAAGGGACACCCACCACACCGCCACAGGAGGGAGAAACGAAGGAGAACCGAAACCGGCTTTTTACCGGTTCAACCGGTACGAGTCGTGCGGGTGACCATGTCGGGCGCCCGGTTGTATCGAAGTGGTTCCACTACACGACCCTGTCCCTCAACTCCTGTCCCGGTTCCCACCGGCTGTGTAATGGGCAGCTCGGTGGGACTGAGACTTTGGACACCATCCGACCGCCATGCAGTGTTGACAAAGACATGTTAAGACATGTTAAGACAAACCATGTTTCTGGTGAGTTTGCCGATATGTAAGAGTTCTTGAGAATGTTGTCCAAACTCAAAAACCCTTCACTCAGTTTGTCCTTGAGGTGCTTTTCTTTGATTGAGGGGCCCGGCATGGGCCACAAAAGGTCTTAGTCTTTGTTCTCATGGGAGAAGAAGACGAACGACAAGGGGGGCTAGGTGCCTTGCACATCCCGTCCATGATATTGCGACTGGTAAAGACATTGACCTTAGAACTGTGGGGGTGCCCTTTGTTTCCATAGCATTTCAGGCTTGGCGCGGTTTTTGGAGTACAACTCGATTTTTGGGCGGGGCTAACACGCTACAAGACAGATTTCATCAAGTCCGTTCATGGCAATGGCGACGGCAATGTTTCTTTCTCGAAGGCAACCATTGGAACATTCCGAGAATGGCGGATCGAGTCAAATCGTTCCATTTTGGGTGACCATTGCTCCGAGTCCAACTCCTGCTTTTCCAGAAAGACATCTTGCACCGACTGAGATGGATAGACCAAACAATGCGATTCAGATGTCTACCCTACTATCCGACAAGCATGGTGGCCAGGCTTTGTTCTCGAAGGACCTCAAGAAGAAGACCGAAGGCAAGAAGGAGATCGTGGACTTAAGGCCCCTCAACGGTGGCTTCAAAATCTTCAACCAAGGAGAGGCCCAAAACGATGGACGGTATGTGAGCAATGTCGCCTCCAGATGTCGAACTCCCCGGATGGACGGTCAAGAAGGTACTGGGGGAATACCTACCCTATAGGGCTCCTGTCCCACCTCCTGAGAAGGTGGTTGGGATGGGTTTGGGAGATCTAACATGATCTAACCACCGAACTTGAGGATATGGCCAGGAGCACTAGGGCTAATGATTGCGTCAGGACATTTGGGTAGCTGCACGGCGAATGCTTTGGCGGCCTCTTTCCACTTTACCCTGCACAAAGAGAATGTGGAGAGCCACGCGGACTTGAAGGACTTCACACCGAGCCGCCTCTTCATCTACTACAACGAAAGGCGGGGATGATGGAGACAAGACGTGGAGACGGGGTGGGCCCATGTCCTCGTCTCTTCCAGGGTTTCCATCAGCGCAAGGGAAGGAAAAGAAGCGAATTAATCGATGCCCCGGAGACTTGTGAAGCACCAGCAGTCGCTTTAAGGGCATATGGGCGGGGTAATTGATCGCTAGCGTCTAAGTCCAGGGCTGTTGAACATGATCAGGGTCCTACTTCTCAGGGTCCCTCGCTTAACTGGAACCGTGACCCAGCTATGAGCCCTGTTTTTTCTCCCACAACCCGACCCTGGGAGTGTTGGAGCTGCATCCAGGCGTTGTCCTGATTAATCCGCTGTTTCTTTGTTGGAACGTGCGTCATGTCAAGGTTTGCATGACATGTGGAGGAATGCAAGTTCTTGGCTTATATAAAGTAAATGATATCAATAGTGGTGTACTGTCAGGGCCGCCTTTGTTTGGATTCATTCATGTGTCACCCCTGACCCAAGAAATTCATATAGAAAGTCGAACTGCTGAGGTAGGAAAACAAGCAAACCACCAGTGTAGATGATATTTTCGTGTATTTTGGTTTTCTTTCCTTAAGAAACCACCAGTTGCATAACCTTGCTTTCCCCAGTGGCGTCCATACGGGCAGCCGGAACTCCAGCGGACCCTCGGTACGTCGCCGGAACCTCCGTATGTTGAGGTACGTTGAGGGCAGTGTGGACCAAGATGCTGGCGCGATGTTGCGTGATGGAGTCAAGGTCATGGCAAAGAAACTTGGTTTTCTATGTTAGTTAATTAATCAGTCATAGAACTTGGTTAGTTGTTGAAACATGTTGTTATTGAAACTTGGTTAGAGGTCAATGACCAAGCCCACCTTCCAACTAAACCCTTTTTGCACCCAAGGCCACCTGCAAGAACCAGGACAGTCTTTTGGGGTTCAAAGCCATGAATCAGGAATTCAATGGCCTTGTTCGCCGGTGTTATCGTGCAGATTTCCCAGAAAGAAGGATTGCTTGTAGTAGTAGTAGTAGTAGTAGTAGTAGTAGTAGTGGTAGTGGTAGTGGTAGTGGTGGTGGTGGTAGTGGTAGTAGTAGTAGTAGTAGCGGGAGTAGTAGTAGTAGTAGTAGTAGTAGTAGTAGTGTGGTAGTAGTAGTGTGGTAGTAGTAGTAGTAGTAGTAGTAGTAGTAGTAGTAGTAGTAGTAGTAGGTGTAGGTGTAGGTGTAGGTGTAGGTGTAGGTGTAGGTGTAGGTAGCAGTAGCAGTAGCAGTAGCAGTAGTAGTAGTAGTACCACCCTAAAGGGTTGCGATAGCAGAGCAAGAGAAAAGAGCCTGGATTGTTGTTTTGCTAGGGCTCCAAGTTTGCACATTATTCCCATCCCCTAAACAAATCTTATTGTTCACTCCCCCTGGGCTTGTGCACCACCCTTGAAAAATTGTTTGGGGCAATTACACCGATAAGTTTCAATAAGGTTTTTTGAACACTATTTTTCAGGTAAGATCACCTCAGAAGAGTTAAGTTAAGCCAGGACCTAAGATCCTAAAGGACTGCAATAGCAGAACAATAGAAAGGTAAGCCTTAGATGTTTGTTCTAGGGCGCCAAGTTTGCGCATTAATCCTCTAAACTACTTTTGCCATTCACCTCCTTTGGGCTTGTGTGCTACTCCTTGAAACATTGTTTGGAGCAATGAAATTGATGAGTTTCACTATATATGTTTCAATAAGGGTTTTTGAAAAACAAAAGTCTGGTAAGATCACCTCAGAAGAGTTAAGTTAAGCCAGGACCTTAAAGTTCTAAAGGACTGCAATAGCAGAACAATAGAACAGCAAACTTAGATATTAAATTAGTAGGGCTCCAAGTTTGCGCATTAATCCCCCCTAAACTACTCTTACTATTCACTTCCTTCGGGCTTGTGTGCTACCCCTTGAACATTTGGTTGGAGCAATGAGATGGATGAGTTTCAATAAGGGTTTGTGGAAAACACAATTCAGGTAAGATCACCTCAGAAGAGTTACTGTAAGTTAAGCCGGGACCTTAACATGCTAAAGGACTGCGATAGCAGAACAATAGAACAGTAAGCTTAGATATTTGTTAGTAGGTCTCCAAGTTTGCGCATTAATCCCCTAAACTACTTTTATCATTCACTTCCTTCGGGCTTGTGTGCTACCCTTTGAAATGTGTTTGGAGCAATGAGACGGATGAGTTTGATCAAGGTTTTCAGGTTTTCAATTTCCATAATTCAAGCAAACCTCAGAAGAACAATAGACAAGGTGGACTACAAGGTGGTGTAGTTGTTGGTGAAAACACAACCTCGGACCTGGCTGGGATGGCAACCTCTTTGGAGTCGACGAAGTCGTCGACCGACCCTCAGCCACTGCGATCTCAGGTCACTTGAACGTTTCACTACCATTAAACTACACAGGTTCCGGTCGCTTCAATCTTCACTTGACTGGCCATCGGTCCGTGGAACAGGAGGTGGAGCAGTGGCCTGACATTTTGACTGATGAGTGAGCCTGCATTTCTTTGTAAAGTGAGTTTTCAGTTGAGGATGGGCGTGTGTCCGGAGTCCATGTGGAAGTATGATGACGGCGATGACTTCTTCAAGAAACAGCCAAGCAAGGACTGCTATGACTTCGCCCAAAAATGTACGGTGAAGAGCTACGCGCGGGTGGAGCAGGCGAGGGCGGGTTTTGAGGCTTGTTAAAAGGCATCATGATTCCATTTTTGACCCGCCTAGCGGGGTGAATGAAGAGAGCTGATTGCGGAATGCCCTGCAAATTGAAGGAGGCCCTTGTGATTGCACCCTTCATCCTCATGTCACTTTGTTCATAACCACCTTGCCAGTGTTTAACAATCCAGTGTTTATGACCACTTAGCCAGGGCCCCAGGGCTATGTATAGGCTAGGTAGGTGACAGTTGCTTTATGTTGCCTAGTTAGGCCTAGTTGCCTTGATGGAAAAACACACAAAAAGACTCCCCAAATCTGCCCTGCAGAATGTGGAGCAGATGAAGGCTTGCATCAAGCATGGCTATCCCTTTGTGTCCCTGGCCGTGAAGCATGGAAATCCCGCGTGTGAACCGCGTATGCCAGTTGGAACAATAATGGATATTAGTTCAACTTATAGCAAAGCAGTGGCTCGCACGCACAAGAAGCCACGTACAAGATGATATATAGTTTGATATAGTTTGGATGCAGTCAGAGTTGTATGAACTACATAGATGTATGTTGAACTCTCTCTCTCTATATATATATACATATGATTGTATTTGTTTTGTATAATATATAATCTATATATATCTATTTGTATCGACTGAAATATTTGTATGTATGAAAATATACCCTAGAAGTCCAAGGACTATATTTTGACCGGCTGAAGTAAAGAAAGTTCCCTTTCAGGTCCCCTAAAGACCATGCTTTTTTATAGTCTTTGACTCCCAGGGTATATATATGTATATTTGTGTGTACACACTGACATACATATATACACACCGTTAGAACTGTACCAATTTCTGATTGGCCTTGAACGCTCTTTCATGTTGCACACCGAGTCGCGAATTCACTTCCAACACCCTCGCATACCTCAGGTTCGGCTTTACCGTGCTGACGAGCTTTCAGGAAGCCGCCAAGGACGGCAAGATGGTGATGCCCCAGAAGAACGACCAGGCGAGACACTACCTTGTTATTTGTTTGGGGGGAAGAATTGTATGTGTGTGTGTGTGTGCGCCATTTCATGTCTATTATGGTTTTGTTTGGTGCTTAGGTAGAGGTCGCCGCAGTCGTCGTTGGCCACTGCAGTTGGTTCTGCTTCTTACGCTTGCCTCTATCTATAAATGTTTGTTGATGATGCTGAAATTTGAATTTGTTGAAACCACAATTCCTGCATTTGATTTTGGGTCCTGAGAGAGGTGATGGTAGAGAAGTGTTGCCGTTGGTGATGGTAGAGAAACACATGCATCGTGCATTTTCACAAGGATGGAGGAGCGGGGGGGCACCTTTGCGGCTCAATAATATATGGCCCACTTACCCGAAACCTTGAGCTGTTTGTTTATTTCTTCTATTTTTGAGCCAATTTTTGAGCTACCATGGGGAAAAAAAGATCAAGCATGGGCTTCTGACCTTGAAGAGGCTCCACGATCTACCAGACTTGGACCCAAACTCGGCCGCGTTCAGAGCTGAGCGGCCAAGGTAAGGGGAGGCCATGCCGTGTGCGCCGTGGGCTACGATGACTTCCAGCAGTGCTTCATCGTACGGAACTCCTGGGGCGAGGAATGGGGTGACAAGGGCCGCTTGGAAGGCAAAAGAGTGAATGAATGGGCGAACAGAGGGCGGGAATGGTTGAGCCTGAAAACCGCTTCATAGGCTGTTTTTTTGAACGATGGCTGAAGGAGATTGAGTAGCAGGATGTTTTGTTCCAATATGATGTTTCTCTCAAGGAAAGACAAGGAGTTGGCCCGGAGTTGGCTGACTTGGTGAGTTATATTGCTGGTGAGTTGAGTGGGCAAAACCAAAGTGGGTGACATGGAGCCAATCGAGCATCCAATGTGTTTGGCATATTAGATATATACAGCAGCCTGCTTATATAAGAGGTGGTGAATTCAATGGCCAATTCCTACTCTCCCTTCAAAAGAAACAACTGTTCCTTTACACATGCACTTTGTGAGTCGCACATCCTTTCCGGTGAAATAGATTTTGACGACTTTGTTGGTTGCCAGCCAATAGAAGCAGTCAACAGTTGCGGGTTGTTGGGGAGACTCCTGGAATGTTCTGGTGCAATGAAACAACAGATCTGTGAAGACACACCTGGCCTGAGTCTCTCAGCTCACTGCTCGCTGATGCTCACTGTGTCTTGAAGACCCTTTGTGGACATCAGGGTTGAGCGCAGAAACATAGCAATTGAGCTAAGGTTACTTCTACATGCCCTATGAGTACATTCGTGAGGAACAGCTGGCTCAGGCCATTTATGCCTCGATGTAGAGTTGGGAGTTGGTGGGAGTTGATGGGTGCAGTCATGCAAAGTTTTCAGCCTGAAGCACATATATTCCTGGAGTCGGCCCCAAACCTGGCATCTAGGACATTTGTCAACGTTTTGGGACATCCGTTTGCACTGCCCTCCCTCCAACAAACATGGAAGTGGACAACCCCCCAGTTTGTAGAGGAACATGGTCTTTCCAGAGGCCATTTTCCACTTCCATGATTGTTTCAGGACGAGTAAGAAGCGCGCATGTTGTCATGTTTCCCCTTTTTTCCCAAAGCTAGCGTGCCCTGGCTGTCCGACAGGACTTTTGGGCGATCAATTGGGTGGAGGGCTTCAAGGATGCTGCGCCGAAGAAGTTCTAAAGTGTTCTCGAGACGGACTGGTTGTAGATGGTTGTAGCCAAAACTCATGCATTTTCCAAAGGTTGTGTGGATAGGATACCCCCCTGGTGCTTGCAACGATTTCAACCTGGTGTCTATAGGTGCCATTGCTGATGCAATGTTTTTAAGATATTGCCGTTGGCGGTTGATTTGAACATGCGTTGGGATATTGTTGCAAGCTCACATCCAGGCCTTTCCACAGCTGGGGTGTCTTAAAGGGACCTCACTGTACAGTGATTTTGTGGCACTTCCTTCAATTCCCCAGAAGGGGTTGGAGGGTGTGTCGCAAAGCAATTCAAAACCAAAGGTGGTTTGGGCAACAGCCGTGAAACTTTCCTTTGATCCAGAGGCAAGCTGATTTGCTTTTCATATCTTTGATATGTTTGCGAGATCATGTGTCGCCTTGAGAGCGCTAAAGAGCTTCACGATCGGAGTGGCCATGTGGCAGTCGGATGCCTAGCTGTCAGTCCGCAGGGGG